ACAGCAGATAATTTGAAAAAACAGGTTTCAAATATTCTTAGTCTTCCTTATGCTCTAAAATTGATGGAACAATTGCATTTTGATAGTAGTGACTATAAAATATTGAACAAAAACTTCCTTCTCCCCCCCCAAAAAAAAAGTTTTAGTGCAATTTACAAACAAATGATATATTTTTTATGAAAGCTTTTTATTTCATTTTGCATAGCTAGGCAATAGACAACTTCTCAGGGGAATAGCAATAGGGAGGGAAGCTCTTTTTTTGGCCCACCTTTTTATATCATACCTAGAAATATTTTCTATTCCAAAGGTCTGTGCTAAAATAGCTATTTCTCTGTTAGTAACTCATAGTTGACAGATGCATTTAAAATTCATATTTTTTAAACTGTTTTATTAATGTGTTTTCCAACTAAGTAAATTTCATATTGGGTTAAATGTTTCTCTAATGGATCAGACAAGCAAATTTTTGATGAAATGAAAATGTCATACTCTTATTTATATTTAAAACTGAAAGATTACTAAATAGAGTTCTACAATGGCTACCGAATTTTCAGTGAAAACAAATTAACTTCATGTTATCAAATTTGCCTTAATGTTGTGCTTAAGTTTTCTTTAGTATAGCAGATAATTTAATCCTTTCAATTTTGATGAAATCTATAATTTCATTTGCTTATTCATTTTGAAAACTTAAAATCACTGAATAGTACTGGTACTTTGATGGTAATGAAATATAAGTAAAAACAAGCAACTTAATTTTATCAAAATTCCTTCTGACTAACTGGCATTAATTGTTTCATTGATTCTATGAAAAGGAGTAACCTCGCATTTGAAATTCAGAAAAGGTGTGCACAAATGAATCACCTGCAATAAGTTAGATAAGAGAACAGATTTATTGTTGAATAGAAAAACCAGTGGCTAAAATGGAAAAAGGAAAGGAGGAGGAATAGAGGAAGATCACTATCAATACTGAATTTTCATTAACCAGTTGTGAATACCTGTCACTTATATGTAGTGGGCCATCACTTTAATTACATAAAAGAAACCTCTTTGACCGCAAAGGATTCAAAACGTGGTATATCTATACCTATGTGATACATACAATCATTTTATTTTAATAGTTATATATTATGTAAATTTCCTTTAGTTAGTTTTCTTCTAATGATGAGGAATATTGGGAAAATGTAAAACTACTGATAATTAAGCATAACTGAGAAATAGTTTTTAGACCAAAATGCATAAGCAAAATTCAGGTTACAAAATTTTGTCTACCTTTAGCTGCCTGATAAAAAAGAGATTTGAGAAGTTTTTAATAAGAATCAGTTCTAAATTTTTCTTTTTTAAGTTTTGTACATTATACCCAGTAATTTGAATTATTGTATAACCATAATTTTTAGCAAGACAATCTTCTAAATAAGTTTTCTTTTTACCCCTAAATCTACTAAATTTATTATTTTGGATATAATTGGAAATCAAATAATAATTTTTTAAATATGTATGTATAAAAAATTAATTAAAAAACCCATAAATTCTGTTAAATGAAAAAACTGTCAGTTTTTAATGTGTCATTGTTGTACATCTGCATCAGGATGGCCACCCAACAAAAATATTTCATACTAACTTCTGCAAGAAAAAACTTCTGTAGATAAAAAGTACTAAATTTGTGTTTATTATTGTTTTATTCTTTTTACGATATTACAGTATTTTTGTCATAAATAAACTCAACTTAAAAGTGCTAAATGAAATTCTACCCAGCAAATATAAAAAGAAAAAGGTCATGATTTACCTCATTTTGGTCATCTATCTATAATGCTTAGGTAATTTTAGTTATCTAATTTTTTCTATTTGAATAAAGACATTTTAGCTATTTCATATGCAATTTACATACAGATATTTTATTTATTAATTTATACATTTTTACACACACATTTTTTTTATTCTTCAAAAAAAATTGTTATTAATATGTTCTGAAATAGAATCTTTCTGAAATCTTTCACTGATGAATGTTTTTTAATTTGTTCTGTCAAAAAGAATCATTGATCAAGGAAGTTCGTAGTTTTTTTTTTTTTTTTTTTTTTTTTTTGTAATTGCTGGAAATATTCTTCTATTTGTTGCTGACAAGCAAAGGAAACACACTAGAACTTTTGTTAATCTTTTTAAATTAGAAAACTTTTGCTTTCCTACAACTGTTTTCATTGAAATGAATTTTAAAAAATTCATAAATTTTATTCTTAAACCACTTATTTTTGAATTTTTTCAATGTTTCTACAGTTTCTGTATCATATGTTTCTCTATCAAGATCTTTGTTGTTGTTTTATTCAATGAGACATTTGAAATTCAAAAGCATTATAATACAAAAACAATCTGATCTGCACACTTCAGAATTCAGTATCAGAAACATTTTAATATAGGATCTTTGAAATTTATTCTTTTGAAAACATTGGTAAATTGAACGTAGATGAAAAGTATTTCACCTCAATGCTTTTTTCTGGAATTTCATCTAAAATAATTTCTTTTCCATTTATGCCCCTAAATATTCACTATATCTAACAAAGCACTATAAACTGAATTTAGCTTACAGTTGATGGGATTTTTAATACATTAAAATTTCATAAAATATTCATTTTCATTTTATTTCCTACTGGTGAAATCAAAAGATGAAATCAGTAGATAAGTTTAGATTTACTACGTCTGGCAGGCTGAATATTAAGAGAAAATGTGCTTTAAGGATTCTGTAGTGTAGTTAAAGATTAAAACTTGTTTGTTAAAAACCATATGCTGCTGCACTCTGGGTTAGTAATAAATTCATAAATCTAACTTTCGTGTATTATTCTTACCGCTTGAAAAGAAAAATTAGACCTAATGGCAAATATACTAGAATACTGAAAACTTACTAACATGTATAAATTAATAAAAAAGTACTAGAAGTAGTCACCCTGATTTGCATACTTTTAACATGTCACCTTTAATTAGCATTATCTTTGAAAACTTGCCTAATTGAACTCAATATTTCAGATTCAGTATAGCTCTACATCACACATCTGACTTCAGGATAATACAGTAACAGTTAAAAAGTTTAAAACTCTAATCTACTTACTTCACCATGATTACTTCATCAATAACTAATAATACAATATAATAATAAAGCCTTATAAGAGAAGATAGTAAAACTTTTTATTTTAATTTCTAGTCTTTCAGACCAAGTGTTTCTCTCCTGAGCTATGATATGCAGTTAATCCAGATCTATCTACATCCTAAATTTAAGTTTAAAAATATCTTGTATGTAAATTGAATTTCTTATTATGTAGTACATATTCTGCTCTTATTATAAATAATTGATTTTACATTTATGACCGCTGTACAAAAATTCGAAGTACTTTAAAACTGAACACCATATTTTCTTCTTCATAATTTTCATTACAGATGTGCTAATACAATATTTAAATGCGTAATAAACATTGGTAAAAATGAATAAAGGAACATCTATAAAAACTCATATAACTTGATTGATTTTGAAGCTAAGAATATGGAAATTGCACAGGCTCTTTATTTTTTTATATACTTTCAAATTGCAGAATTGTCTATTTTTGGGGGCGATGAAATAATAACATAGTAAATGTGATATAAAGTGGTGTAATGAAAGTTGTGACAATATTAGAAATATATAGAACAAAATAATGAGGTACATAGTTATCCCAGACTGAAATGCAAGCTTTACAGAGATTTTCCATGCTGTGTATTAGATTGCCCAGGCATTTCTGTAGCAATAAATGGCAAAGTGACATGGTGAAGAGCATCGTTTTCCTGGACAATGCTAGTTAGAGGCTGCATTGATATAAGTCAGCAGCCTAGTGCATCCCACATATGTTATTTCAGATTTAAATCCAGAGAATATGCAATCCACTCCATCTGCTGGATTCCTTCAACCTTAAAATGATTGCTCACTAGTGCAGTGCAATGGAAGAAGTTATTACCAATTACATCCGTAAACAACTTGGCTTAAGGATCAAGAGCCTCAGCTCTGTATATTTCAGCATTCACACCTGCATAAGTAAAAATGATTAGGTTATGGTAGCCACTCAAAATGATGCCCACCAATACCTTCATTCTGCTGCCTTCGCATATCAGCTCTCACTGTTATTTTGAATCTTATCTCATGTATTTTGTTTCTTCCAGATTGTATCACATCTGGAATCACACTCCAAATAAAAATGAGAATCGTCAGTAAAGATAATTCAGCTCCAGTCTGTGGTACTCAGATCTCAGTGATCTCTGCAGCCCTGCACATTTTACAGCCTAAGTTAACAGGACACAAATCATGAACTTTCTTGCATACAGTTTTCTTGTATGAAGCTTATCATTATGCAGTGTATCTGAATGGCCGAGTTTCTATATTTGCAGCAAACATTATTGCAGTCTGTGATGATATCAGTTGTCTGTTTTTTTAGCAATTGTTTCCAAATATTGTCTTGGGGATCAGTTGTGAGACATTTTGGTTGGTCTTGACCTGGTTATCTCTTTTTATTTGGATTGTAACCAGTATCTTTAAACCATTTCCAGATTAATATGATGCATTTGGTTACTTTTAGATCTTTACAGACCTGTGTCTCATTTATTTTTCTTCCATCCTCTTAACTGTATGCCATTTCTCACAGTCCATCAGATGTCATGTCAATGATATGCTCAAATTTCTACACATGAAAATTTTATCCATCTATTGAAAAATTCTTCAAATTAGAATTTGAAACACAATCTTTGCATTTCTTTCCATATCCGCTGAAGGAATGGGTGCAAAAATTTGCATATTCCTGTGTATTGGATATGAATCCAGTTGGATTTGGGGATAACATTGACCTTAAATTACCAACCAGTTAACTTTCAATGGATTTCATGTAATAGAATTAATATAAAGCACCTTTTTACAAATGTCCCTTTAGTTTTTCCTATCAATGCATGCAATAAGTTTTATAATATCTTTACGTATTCACTTCCTTGACAAGTCATAAATATCACCATGGGCATGGTATTTTTATTCAGCTTTACCACGAGCTCTATTGATGTCAATTATTTTCATTCCATTTGCATTTTTATTAGATTATCGAATAAGAGCATTGTTGTATCCAGTTTTTGGTTTTATTGTTGTCTACTCTTTCTTACCTCATAAAGAACTGAGGTTCATTATATACACCATTCCACTCTTAAATGTTGCTGCTGCAAGAACATGTGCACATATGTGAGTATTTATTCTTAGCATTATTTTGAGGTCTTTTATATTTGATCATTTTGTCATGCAGTTTTTTAACTTGATCATTATACTTTTAAGTAATTCATTACACTGTATTATACGGTCAAAAGTCGTTAATCCGGACTCGTCGGGACTTCGGCAATTCCGGATTATAGTCCATCAGTTTAAATCTGGTAAGATGGCATAAAATAAATAATTATAAAATTAAAAATATGAAACCGTAATTTATGAAATAAAGAACAATTATGATCTAAAGGGTATCAAAATTTACAAGAAAAAAAGCTTAATATTTATTTGTTTACTTTATTAAACATTTCTTTCATGTAATTTGTTTAAGTTGCTTCATTTTTTATGTGATAATACATTCTCTTTAATTCTATAAACAACATAATTTCTTTTAGTTACAAAGTTCTCTGTTCAGTCTATAATTGCTGTGTCGAGAATACCGACTAATTTGTCATCGAAATTTTTTCGTTTTCGAAGAAAGTGACCTCTATGTCCCTTTCTTCTTTATCGGAAGCGAATTATAATGACGATGAATTTGATTTACATCATATCAAGACGGAGTAAATTGAGATGAAATACTACATTAGTAAGGAATTATAAGCAATAAATAAAAACATCTGCCCTGAAGATAAGATAGTGCTGACGGATCAACTTCCAATTCATTGCGCACCACGGCGTTCCCCCCCCCCCCCACCCCACCCCACCCACCCCCACCGTATTCGGAATGGTTAGATCACTTTTGTTTTATGGACTTTGAAACATACTTTCACTTTGTAGATCCTTTACATATTAGTAAATGTATATCGGAAATTCTATTTGACATAATCGAAAGTTCAAGCTTACTTTTATAAAATTGCTCTAACAGTCTGCAAAAAATAATAAGCGGGATCCAATTCGAAGATTAAGGAACAACGCAATCTGCAACATTAAATAATTAGATAATTTTAGCTTAGCTTATACCGTCCGTTATATATTAAATGCACATGCGAATGCGCACACTCGCAGCCATAAAGCTTTCTGCGCTTTTCTGCGCTTGCAGTGACTTTCTGCGACCCATGCGCAGAAAGTTTGTAGCTTTGAGGTCCGGATTATGGGTGTCCGAATTAACGACTTTTGACTGTACTGCAATTGAAATGAAATATTGATGAATAAAAATATACAGAAACATTGTTATGTTTTCTCTTTAGTTCTTACTAAAGTACATTTTGAAAAAAAAAAAAAAAAAATATTTCAAGAAAAATTTTTAATGGATTTTATTTTTTAAGTTACTATTATTAAGTTAATGTAAAGTAAACTTGCTCAGAAGAAGGAAGACGGGGGGGAACTGTAGTAGACATAATCGAAAGTAAAATTAAGTAGTAGACTAATAAGTAGTAGACTATTTTGTTATGTTTTGTACTGCTATAAAATTCAGTAAAATTTTGCATTGCCCATTTCATCTAATATACATATTTTGAAACAGAAATGAGTCCCCCTACTATTTAGTTGTATCTTTTATAACTAAATACAGTCAAAAGTCTTTAATCCGGATATCCATAATCCGGACCTCAAAGCTACAAACTTTCTGCACATGTGTAAATGCATAATGCATTTACGCATGCGCGTTTAATGTATAGCGGACGGTATAAGCTAGGATAAAATTATCTAATTATCTATTTCAGTTAATGTTCCAGATTGCATTGTTCCTTAATCTTTTAATTAGATCCGGCTTATTATTTTTTGCAGACTGTTAGAGCAATTTTATAAAAGTAAGCTTGAACTTTCGATTATGTCAAAAAGAATTTCCGATTCTGGAGCTGGCAAAGGATCTACAAAGCAAAAGCATGTTTCGATGTCCATCAAAAAAAAAAAAAAAAGGAATTGCTGCAAAAAGATGGATAAAAGGCATATTCTTTGTTTTCTAACCATTCTGAAATCTGTTTATCAATTTCAGGCTGCTCTGTGGGAGGGAGACGTGACGGCGCGCAGTGAGCTGGAAGTTGATCTGTCAGCACTATCCTTATCTTCAGCGCAGATGTTTTTATTTTATTCGGTTTATAATTCCTTACTAAATGTAGTATTTCATCTCGATGTACTCCGTCTTTGATATGATTTAAATCAAATTCCTCGTCATTTTAAGTATCAAGAAAACACATCGAATAGTTTTCTGGTTGCAATTTTCTAATTTCGACTATGCATATTGTATGCTTTACGCATGCGCGAGTTAAAAAAAAATTTTAATAAAGTAAACAAATAAATATTAAGCTTTTTTTTTTTCTTTTTGTAAATTTTGATACCCTTTAGATCATTTCATAAATTACGGTTTCATATTTTTAATTTTATAATTTCTGCATGCCATCTTACCAGATTTAAACTGATAATCTATAATCCGGAATCACCAAAGTCCCAACGAGTCCGGATTAAAGACTTTTGACTGTATCATTTTATAGCTGGTAAGGCAAATGATTTCATCTTTGCAATCACTATTCCAGTCAAAATGACATTTTTTTTATGCTTTTCATGTAAAAAAACAAACTTTTCATACAAAATACTGTAATATTTAGAATTTGTTTTGATTTCATATATGCTTCATTAAAATTTTTAATTTAATATAAATTTCAATTTTAATTCATTAAAATACCTTTATTTTGATTTTGCTTTGCTAAAGGATTTCAAAACCATTTTTTTTTTTTTTTTTGTGATAGTTTCATATTCATCTTAGATACAATCAGAAGTCTTTAATCCAAGCATCCATAATCCAGAATGATCTATAATCCAGACCTCAAAGCTACAAACTTTCTGTGCATGCGTAAAGGCATCATCTGTTTACACTTATACCTTTACGCATGTGCGTTTAATGTATAACGAATGGCATAAGCTAAGCTAAAATTATTTAATTATCTATTTCAGTTAATGTTGCAGGTTGCGTTGTTCCTTAATCTTCGAATTCGATCCGGCTTATTATTTTTTGCAGACTGTTAGAGCAATTTTATAAAAGTAAGCTTGAATTTTCGATTATGTCAAAAAGAATTTCCGATTCTGGAGCTGCCAAAGGATGTACAAAGCGAAAGCATGTTTTGGTGTCCATCAAACAAAAAGTGGAATTGCTGCAAAAGATGGATACAGGCATATCCTTTGTTTCTCTAACCATTGCGGAATCTGTTTACCAATTTCACGCTGCTCTGCGGGGTGGTTGTCGCGTCGCGCAATGAACTGGAAGTTAATCTGTCAGCTTTATCCTTATCTTCAGGGCAGATGTTTTTATTTTATTCAGCTTATAATTCCTAAACAAATGTAGTATTTCATTTCGATGTATTCCGTCTTTGATATGATTTAAATCAAATTCCTCGTCATTATAAATATCACAAATACACATCAAATAGTTTTCCGATTGCAGTTCTAATTTCGACTATGCGTAATGTATGCTTTACGCATGTGCGCGTTGAAAGAAATGTTTAATAAAGTAAGCAAATAAATATCAAGCTTTTTTTTTTTTTTTTTTTTTTTTTTTTTTTTTTTTTTTGTAAATTTTGATACCCTTTAGATCATAATTGCTCTTTATTTCATAAATTACAGTTTCATATTTTTAATTTTGTAATTTCTGCATGCCATCTTACCAGATTTAAACTGATGATCTATAATCCGGAATCGCCGAAGTCCCAATGAGTCCGGATTAAAGACTTTTGACTGTATATATGAAAATTGCCAGAAAATGTAGTCAACATAAAAAGTATAAACATTTGCTTTATTTTATGATTGATAGTTTTGCAAAATCCTGGTGTAAATTAAGATAATCTTCGTTAAATTTTTGAAAATTATTAGTTTTGGGGGGAATTTGAAATTGTAGTATATTCTGATGCAAATTTAAATTCAGAATTTTGAGATATTCTTTATGAGTCCCAAAATGTGGTCTTTGAACTTAATTGACTTAAGGAGCCCATTAAACTTCTCTTTCTTTCTCCCCATTCCCTCTCCCATTTTTAAATTTCTGATTTCTACAAGAAATTAAATTTTAAAAAAATTTTTATATATCAACGGTTTATATATATTATGTGTGAAATGAAGAAAAAAAATGTTAATTAATGAGTTATTTTATATGTTTAGTTTTGCATTTCATAATGTTAAAAAATTCTATCTGAATTTTTATTTTGACTATTGAACCCTTTTGAAAGATTCTATTGAACTCATTGTTCCATGTAACACAGTTTGAAACCTATTACCGCAGAGAATTAAAATGCTAGTGATTTCTTTCAGATGTATAATAATTTCAAATTTGCATAATTTGATATGTATGGTAGTCATCATTACAAAATATAATGCATAATAAAAAATGACATGATTGTGTTTTTAAATATTTCATATTATTAAATTTTTATAACTACTTTTATATTATTTTCAAGAATTGTTAAGCTGTTTTTAATATGAGGATTTATTTTCATGCATATTATTTTTAGTTGGAATAACAGGATGCACTCTTCAATGCAGGGTGTATTACTTCATTTCACATGTCTTCATATTATATTAAACCTCTGTGCTACTGCTCTTATTTTAAATATTTCATATTTTAATTATCCTGGTGGATATGCAATGGCAAAACTGCATTTGATTGAAGAAGGAGAAAAAGGTATTTTCTTATTATGTTATTTTGTGCGATATGTTTGTTTAATATCTTTTTTAAAAATGCATATTTTTATTAAAATGTGAATTAATAGTTTTCTTTTTTTTCCCTCAGATTTAAATATACATATAGATGTTTATAGTGCTCAGACTGGTGTATCTCGTTTCACAGAACTGAATTCAAATTGGAAGTATGTATCATTATCATAGATATTTGTAAAAGCTATCAGTGTATGAGAACATAGAAGGCTATTTAAGAAAGATCTTGCATATTTGATGGAATTGGCCAATATCATAAATGTCTTATGTAAATATTTTAAGAAAAATATTGTTTTCAAAGAGTAAGGTAACAAGTCTTCTCAGAACACAAACTTTATATCACAGATAGATACATGAATACATTATAATAAGGTATTGATGAACATTACTTTTCAATGTAGTCAGTACACTTATCCAAACATTTCTTCTAACAGTGATCCAAAGCATTAATGCTAGCACAGAAGAAATCAATGTCAAGTCCTTTTTGATGTATCATAATGCTTGCTGAGTATCTGTAATAATTGTGAATCACCCAGAAACCAAGTGCTTCATCAAAGATCCAGAAAGATCCAACACTTTCTAGCAAAACTGCCATAACAAATCATGCATAATGGTGACTGCATGTCACCATTATGCATGATTTGTTATGTAAGTGAAGTGTTATCATGTAGAAGCATACCACTTAAGAAATTCTGGATCTTTTATGTAAATTGCATAATTTACATAAAAGATGTAACAATTTTATGTAAATTGCATAATTTACATAAAAGAACCATAGCAGTATTCACTGTTCTTCCTCTCATGAGGAAATCAACTAGTAACATATCCCAGTAATTCCAAAAGACCATCGCCATAACTTGAATTTCTTGAAAAAGGGTGACAGTAAATGTTTCCATGACATGAAACAATGCTTGCAAAATCTCGTGTATCACATAATGCATCCACATTTCGTACCCTGTAGCAATATAGTGCAGGAACAGAACACCTTCATTAAACTGCACCAAGTGCATGAAAGACAGTATCATTTTGATAGCCTTGTGATCATCTGTAAGCTGCTTAAGCATTTAGTGCGAACACATCTTCCTATAACCTGCTTGCAAGAACAGTATTGTGTACTCACTCGACCTTCTGAGATATTGAGTTCCATATCCTTTAGTCGAATGTGATAATCATCTTAAAACGGAGCTTGAACAAGGAAAGCTTGCCATCTGTGAAAAATGTGCTTGCCATTATTAAACTCAGTGCATCAAAAACAAACTTGTATATGTTACTTGTTGCTGACAAACATGTTTATAATTTTAATGCCAAAACACACATAAGTTCAACAAGTTGGTGATGAATTAATGTCTGATGCAGAAATCATTCACATGTTGCATATCGGCATTTAACCATGTTTCCATCAGTGTAGCCATCTTAGAATGGATATTTCACCATATTAACACAATAGTTGTGCCATCTACTGGCTGCATTCAAATACTATGGCTGACTGCTGTCCCTCCTAGCAGGAAATTTGAATTACAATATGATTGTTACCTTCAGGAAAGACCTTGTTACCTTACTTTTTTATTGCTCTCAAATCTTTGTTTTGTTATATAGTGTTTCTTATGTATTATGTAATACTATCTATTTCAATTAATTTATTTTGTATATTTTTATTAGTAAATTTATATTTATTTCTGGTAATTTTTATAAAATTTATTTATAATGGTTAGCCATTAACGGAATAGTGAAAACAGCTTAGGATAACTGGAGATAATCTAAATCTCTTGCTAATAGACAATACTCATTAGAATAAAACATCGTCTTTTGTCAAGGGTATTCTACGGAGATGGGAGGTTACTAGTCTCTTACTTCAAAGCCTCGAATTGAGAAAATATTCTAGTAAACAGTTCCTTAATGGAATGTATCCGTTAATGAAGGTTTGACTATATATATTGATGCCTACTCGTTTTTACCTACATTTTGGAAGCTTCTAGAATACACGTTTTCAAGACCCTAGGATTGAATTTTTATAGAAAGTACTGGCGGTGCCTTTTCCCCCACCTTGACTATGATATAAATACAAAATTGCTGTAGCACATAGAATTAGGTGAGATAAAGTCATCTTAGTTCAGTCTACTGCTCATAGATTTTAGCCTTTACTTTGTGAACATTTTAAGAATTCTTGTATTTGTTTATAACTTTGAAGTTTTATCTACAGTAATCCATCATTGTAAGTAAAACTAAAGTTATAAACAAATAAAAGAATTATGACTAAATTAAAAATTAAAAAAGAATTATGACTAACATCATAATCCGAAACCAGAAATCTTGAACAAAACTGTTTACTCATAAGATCTTTATGAACTCCTAACACCCAAAAGTATTTATTACAGGTAAGCGAATCAGCTGAACTGAACAACGCATTTGGATTTCACTAATGTTCTCATGAAAAGCATTTACTTTCAAATGATTATTTACTAAATAATATATTGCACAGTGGAGGTTTTTTTTGGGGGGGTGAGTGTGTGTGTGTGTGTGTCAAGAAAAGTGAATGATGCAGGAGTGTAAGAATCTTAATGGGAGCAGATACAAAGTATTATGTCACTCAATGCATGCAGCTCGGTGGCTTAGAAATTTAGTGTAAAACGTAAAACAGTTGAAAAGCAAACTAAAATTGATATTTCAGCAAACGTTATTAGTGACATAGTGATTAAAATTGTCATCGCAATAAATCATTAGAACATAATAAGACAAATGACAGAATATTCAGATACTTCTTTTATGAATTACTTTAGGATTTTAGGATATGCATGAGACAAGTGAGTACAAACTGGGCACCTGAAAGTTTGACCTCAGAGCAGAAACATATTTGTGTCAAAGTTTTTTGCTAAATATTGTGATGGTTTTGAGGTGATATTTTTCTGAATGAAGAATATCTGCAACTTCCTTTCATATCTGATGAAACATTTCTTGATTAATTTTTAAGTCCAGATGACAAGAAGCAAGAACTTATGATGAAAAACTGCTTAAACTGCAATGAAAACAAAAATTGAAAAGTAATATTTCATGATTATTTAAATCCAGAAAACAAGAGACAAGATTTTTTGATGAAAAATGGCTCGGATGTCAAATAAAATAAATAATTGAAAATTCTACTGAAAAAGTTATGATCATCAGTTTTTAGACAGGTATCCAAAATTAATGTTACAATAACATAACACTTGTTATCTCAAAAAGTAATTGGTTTATTGTTATGAAATTTTGTGTACATTTGCCCAATACCATGAGATAGCCAAAAGTTACATAAAAAAATAAATGGAGTAAATATTTTGCAGTGTGCAAATGAAACCCACAACAGCCAAAACATGACACTTTATACAGTCAAATACCGAAAATCCGCCGACCTGAAATCCGCGTTGCCTTTCAAAATATAAACATTAAGTTTATAAGTTTCGGAAACTGCAACATGGAGTATGAAATATCGAAGAAAAAATACTTACTGGATACTGACATCATAATTACCGAATAAAATGAGTCATAATGGAAATACCAAATTATTGACATAATGATAAAAGTTTTCCCCCCTTCAGTCTGCATAGAGATAAAAAAGCAGATTCACTTAACTCTTCCTTCAAGTAAACGATTCACGTTGTTGTACTGTCTGAGCTTTGTTATTTCACAAGATTGTTTAGTGCCGTCTTTTTTTTTTAATCCAGATATTTTGTGGATAAATTAAGAATATTTTAAATAGCAGCGCTTTTTAATGCAATGACAGATAACACTCATGATTTTACCACTTGCAACGTTGAAAAACATAATCACATTGCATTGACAGTAATACAAAAAGTGGAAATTCTGCAAAAGATGAAAGGCAGGTGCTACTCCTCGGTTTATAGCAGAACCATATGGAATTGCGACACGGACCATGTATGATATACGAAAAAATAAAGAAAAGCTGTTAAAAAGAGCAATTATGATCTAAAGGGTATCAAAATTTACAAAAAAAAAAAAAAAAAAAACTTAATATTTATTTGTTTACTTTAATAAACATTTCTGTCAATGTAAGTTGTTTAAGTTGCTTCATATTTTATGTTAATGCTTCCTCTTTAATTCTATAAACAGACATAATTTCTTATTCAGTTACAAAGTTCCACAGTTAAAAAATGACATCATGATGCTATGTTATATCTGAAGAATCTACACATTCGTACAGCTGGAAAACAAATTTTAAAAATTTTCATTGAATGCATGCAAGAGAATGTAGCTGATTAGAAAATATGTGTAGATTTTTATTTGGAAGGGGCTCATACACTCACGAGTACTATTAGTGCCAATGTAGCCAAAGTTACAGTAGTAGCACTTAATGTTACCTGGATTCATTTATACATTCACAGGGAAACCTTGCTAGCAAAAGGTGCTATCTAAATTCAAAACCATTTTAGAAGACAACATTAAGATAATCATAATGCTGTCTTCCAGCAAAGCCTCGGAACAGCAGAATGTTTTCATTACTTTGTCATGACATGAATAGCAAGCACAAACAATTTCTTCTTCATTCTAAAGTTCACGGAATTTTACTTGTTCACTTTTTTTTTTTTTTTTTTTTTTTTTTTTTTATGTGAGTAATGTGTTTATGCATGCACGTTTAATGTATAATGGACAGTAAAGGCTAGGCTAAAATTATCGTTACAGATTCGAAGGCATTTCAGTTAATGTTGCAGATCGTGCTGTTCCTTAATCTTCTAATTGGATCCAGCTTATTATTTTTTGCAGATTGTTAGAGCAATTTTATAAAAATTAAGCTTGAACGTTCAGTTATGAACTTTTTGAATTTTTTGTGGATTCCGACACCCCACTTGCAATGAATAACAGAAAAAGGGTTCATTATGCTAAAAGTGATGATTGAATGGGTCAGACAGAGTTGCAGAGAGGGCGTGCCATTGATGGGTCCAATGCTAATGGCTCAAGCCAAATTATTTCATGAAGAAATGAACTTAAACACTGAGTGCACATATTTGACAGGTTGGTTAACCAAATTAAAAAATCACCATGGTATAAGACAATTAAAAATTTCAGGTGAAAAAGCTTCAGCTGATACTGAAGCTGCTGAACAATTTGCAGATAATGTCATTGAACTCATTACTAGTGAACAATTATCTCCAGAACAAATTTACAACGCTGATGAAACTGGTCTTTTCTGGCAATATGTACCATGAAATACCTTGGCAACCTCTAAAGGAAAGCTTCCAACTGGTGTCAAAGATTCCAAAGCGAGGCTAACAATTTTAGCGAGCGCAAATGCTGCAGGAATGCACAAGTGGAAACTTTTCATAATCGGGAAACGTGCAAACATGCACGACCTTGAGCATTTAAAGGAGTAACGACTTTCCCCGTTATATATCATGCAAAGAAAAGAGCATGGATGACACAAGCGTTGACGAATGATTGGTTTGAAAAATCATTTTTTACCAGAGGCTTGGGGACATTTGAATTCGGTTGGTTTACCGACTCAAAAATAGTCCTGATTGTTGACAACTGTTTGGCACATATTTTACTTAAAGTTATACGGAAAGATAATGTATCCATATTATTCTTCCCTCCAAATTGTATGTCTATCATTCAGCCTATGGATATGGGAATAGTGCACAAGCTGAAATGCAAATATAAAGTAGCATTTTTAAAATCTGTGTTACATTTCTTGAACAATGGCAAGACTATTCAAGACTTTTTGAAATTTTTTAGCATAAAATCTGCTGTGTGGAGCATTGCAAGATAGTGGGAGGGTGTGTCTCCAGATACGTTAAAAAATGCTTGGAATAATTTATGGCCAGCTACCATATTTCATGGTGAGGACGATGAAGATGATAGCTGCCAATTTGAAGGTTTTTGGACATCGCAAACTAAAAATGAAATTTTTCAGTTATTGGATTTTGTAAACAAATTTGGAGAAGCAGTAATAAATGAAGATGATATAACAGAAGTTTTTCATTGTGACGACATTGCCCCCAATCATCAATCAACGGACGGCGAAATCTGTAGTATGGTTCTAGATCCAGAAAATACTGCTTCCAATAGTGAAGAAAGTGACAGAGGTTATTGAAAATGAAAAAATTTTGATTGACAAGTTAGTCGGTATTTTTGACACAGCAATTACAGGACTTGAACTGTGGAACTTTGTAACTGAACAAGAAATTATGTCTGTTTATAGAATTTATGCTGCACATAACCAATAAATTTTGTATCATTCGAAATGTCTGTTGGCTTATCTATCTGAATTGAATATAAATAAACTCTGTTGCAAAAAAATATATGCATCCAGAAAGAATTGAGCCACAGCTACGAAATTCAGCAGTAATGTAATGTTCGAGTAGATAAACAAATGATCAAAAACTGGGACAAAAAAAAATGCTTTATTTACGAGCAGCAATACAAAGAATGTAAAAATCATTACATGGTAATGTCACTCCTGGCAGCTCTACAAGCCAGTATTTGGTTGGCATGCAGTCTGTTAAGTTGGTGATGTCCTCTACAATATATTGTTCCTCAAATGCAGCAGTTGGTCAGCGAGTTGGAGCGTATTTGCACAGGGCCAAATTTGCCTGCCCAATACGTCTCAAACATGTTCAATAGGAAACAGGTCTGGAGATCTGGCAGGCTAATCAGGAACATTAACATGTGGAAGACATTGTTGGGAATGTCATGCTGTATGTGTCCAAGCATTGTCCTGCTCTAAAACAAAACCTGGACAACCTGCTAGCATAGGTAATACAATCAGCTACAAAATACCATCATTGTATCTGTGAACAGTCAGAGTATCTTGCACACAATTAATGGTGAATGGTTGCCCCAGCTAATCGCTCCCCAAACTGCCACACTGTGTGTTCTGCTCCGTAACAAATGGTACATTGGACTGCTCTCATATATGTCTCCAGACAAACATGTGGCAGTCATGAGCACTGAGAGAAAAGTGTGATTTATTGCTGAAGGTCACATTTCTTCAAATTAATACAGTCTTATGAGAAAGATTCAAAATGCCTTCAGAATTCTTTATAAAGCGTGGTTAACATAAAATTAATTCTGTTCTATGAATTCAAACCCTGGGAATTGGTGAAAACCCAGGATATTTATTAAATTCTTTCTAAATAGTATATCTTTATATAATTCTACTAGAACATTGTCCACAAATTATGGTCAAAATCCAAGCTTAAACCTATAGTAGAATAATTAATTATAGAAAATTGAATGAATAAGATGTAAGTTAACAATGTACGCTAACAAAATATTCAGTAGTTGTACTGATTTGCACCATGGAATAGAAATAGCCAAACTAAGGTTGATTTAAGAGAGAAGAAAAACAAACCTTATAGTGTAGTTGGAGGCAAGGAAGTAGCATAAATTGCTAAGGACTGATACAGTAATTTGACACAGAGAGAATAAATATATGGTAGTAAATACATACCTGCCATGTCAGTGATAATTTTTTAAACATATCGGACAGAAATGCCCACATCTTCATAAAAGTGATTTGAGAGAGCCATCACCTTGTTGTTGTCCACAAGTTACACACAAAGTATTTTGCAAGAAGAATAATCAGAATTGTTTTATGCTCTTCTTACAATCTAGATTTTATATGATTTTTTTTCTTCCCCCCCCCAAAAAAAAAATCTTAAAAAGAAGTTTTTTGTGGATCAATCCAAACCATTAAAAGGAATGATTAAAGCTATTTAGTGGTTCTTCTAAAAACATGACAAAATTGTCTTTCAGCTTGTTTTTGAATAGTGCTTTTAAAACAACATTTTGATAGATAATTTTCTTTAGATAGAATTTCTTTAAAAAAAAGAGCAGTACTACCCAGTTTATATTAGTACTTTCCCCCTTTTAATCTGTGCAGATCTTCTGTGAATAATCCATTCCTTTTTAATGTTCTGTGTTTTAATGAAATTTGCTTTTTAAACATGCTTGAAGTTTAAATTATCATTATAAAAGAACATTAATCTTTTATATTAGGGTAAAGTATAACTGGAAAAGTGTTATGTATGTATAATAACATATAAGCATGAGAAAAAAATGGTACTAAACTCTAGTTGTTCTAAAAGCTGAAATCTTTACTCAGGATTAAGAGATGGATAATTTCATCAACCAGTCCTTGATACACATTCATTCTAAATTCTTCACTTCTTATGAAATATTAAATACTTAAATATTATTGAGATATTTTAAAAAGTTTAATTAAATATTTTTACCATTGCATATTTCTTTGCTAGCGTATTTAAATTATTATTTTTTATAGGTACAATAAAACTGAAAATTTACCTCTTGGAGGGGTTGAAATTATGCAGTTCACTCACCTATTAGTGGAATGGCCTAATGATATTGAAAATTCACAGTTGCCTTACCTAACTACACATTCAGTCTTAAACATTACTCATGGCTATTCACATTGGGGATTGGACTTTTCAACATTTCCTCCTATTCAAGTGTTTCTGAGACCACGCATATTAATAATGAAAAGAAATCTCTCTTATCCATCACTAATATTGAATGTTACCAATATAAAAACTCTCAAAAGTTGATTTTATATATTTGTGTGTAAGCATAATTTAAAAAATAAACATGTATTTTATTTTGAAATACTGTGAAATTATTAAGTAATTTATATTGCTTTGTAGATGACAGCTTGAATAACTATAATTTAAAATGATAAGTCAAAAATGTTTTATGACTTCTGTTATCATGATGCATAGACTTATGAAAGTAAACAAATTTTAAGAAATATTGAAATAGTGAATGAAAAATTGAATTTAAAAAGTCTGATCAAGTTCCTTATATTCAGATTAGAATCTACAAGAAAAATTATAATCAACTACAAACTGGATTTTTTTTATCTGTTGATTTAGCCTAGATGTATTAGATATATAAATTAATTTTATGAAATTTTACTTCCTTGTACTAAGTAAAGTAAGTATTGTAATCATGAAAAATATCTGATACCATATTTCCAAAATATCCATTTTGACTTCTCTCAAATCCATTTGAATGATTTTTTATGCCATCTGTATATACAGAAAGAATAAAAGACTGTTTTTCTGAAAATAGTTTGTAAAATGGATTCAGAAAAGATTTTTTGTGACATCTGTACGTATGTATGTGTTTCACATAATTAAAAAAATTTGACATCATTTTGCAAAGTGCTGATGTTTGAGATTTGGCTAAAAAGAATGAAAACAAACAAAAAAAAAACTTATTACAGGTTACATTAATGGAAGTGAGAAAATTTATTAATGAAGCATATTACAATTTAAAGCATAAACAATATTTTATGTTTGAAACTGGGTGGTTATCTTAAAATGTGTTAATTCTGTAATATAGTTTTAAATGAAAATTTTAGAATATTGATGTAGACAGTCTTTAAAAAAAAAAAAAAAAAAAAAAAAAAAAAAAAAAAAGAATCAAAATTTAATGCCTGAATAACAAAAATTACTATCTTCCGGTATATACAAAATTCCAGCACGACATTCATTATACTTACTAAAAGTATGTATAAAATATTTCAGCTCAGGAGATCCATACATCTTAATAATAATAATAAATTTCACTAATTAAAAAATTTCTATATGTTTGTATGTTGTACATGTGTAATAAAAACAAATTTAGGAACACTGAGACATAGAAATGTAGCAGTGTTAATGCGCTGTAGCACTAGATAGCTTAGTGAAGAGGAAACTTGGCAGTCAAGGCAAATTAAATTCCATATTTATTTAAACTGACATTTGTGACTGCAATTCACTTGGCATTCTAATCATGCCTACTCAAGAATATTCACATTTTCGACATTATTGCGATAGGAAGCGAGAATACTGAAATAGCATCCAAGCAACAACTTAGGTTGAAGCAAAGTGCACATTTATATAGAAGATCGTGGTTTAGGTCAGAAAAGTTTCAAAATTTTGAATTAAAGTTCACAATAAGCTACATCATCAGCTAAACGGTGCAATCAGGAAAGTTATTATTTTTAGAATAGAGAGAGGAAATACCCAAATTAAAAATGAAGAATTTAAGAGAATACTGCTAAATTAAATTATAAAGCTGATTTACATATTTTTTACTTATGCATTTTTCTAAATAATTTTTAGAATTTTATATTTATTCATGAATTTGATGCTTGTACTTGATTTACATATGCTCTCAGAATTTTAATAATTATGTAGATTAGTTAGTTCGCAACAACATTAATAACTTTATTTGTTTGCATTAAATTTAATTTAAATTAATTTTAAAATTTGCTTTTTACGAATAGAGTATGTTTGTTAAATTCAAATTATCTTGTATATATATAATATCTAAATATATACAAGATATATATATATAATATCTAAATATATACAAGATATATATATCTTGTAAATATATATATGTAAGATAATTACAAGATAATTTGAATACATGAATACATATAATATATATATATTATATATATAATTAGAAGCATATTAGCAAGAAAATTAGCGCACCAAGAAATAATTGCGGGATCGTAACGAAACTTGCAACGAAGGTACATGTCAAGGAGATATGCAAATGATTAGAAATGCAGTGTGATTGCGCATTACGTATAGCCGGTAGAGGGCATTGAACGTTGTACACGGTGGAGTATAAAACAGGTAACCAAAGCTTGTTTGAGTGTGCTGAATCATTTACAATAGAAGAGCTGAGGTAGACATGCTATTACGCCATGTTAGAAGACAATCTGAGCAGTTGTCCAAGTTTGAGAGGGGGAGAATCGTCGGGATGATGGAAGCTGGGTGTTCAGCTAGGCGAGTAGCTCATCAATTAGGCCGCTCTGATTGTGTTGTGAGGAGGTGTTGGAACCAGTGGAACCGAGAGATGTCATGTACTCGAAGACCAGGCTCAGGACGCCCTCGACAGACCAGTCGTCGAGAAAACAGCCACATCGTAAGAAATGCATACGTACAGCCAAATGCTTCATCGGCCACCATCCAGGCACAGGTAGCACCTTCACTAGGGGCCACTGTGTCTTCTCGAACCAAACGAAGGTGCCTGGCTGAAGGACAGTTGGTATCGTGGCGCCCATTATGTGTGCTGCCCTTGATGCTCACCCATTGACGCCTCCGTTTGGAGTGGTGTCAAGCATGAGGAAACTGGACTGCAGCGGAATGGAACCAGGTCGTCTTTAACAACGAATCCAGATTCAATCCTGGCAGTGATGACAATCATGTTTGTGTGTGGAGAGCCCGTGGTGAATGCCTCAGTCCTGCTTTTGCCATACCGTGACACATCACTCCCAGAGCTGGTGTGATTGTATGGGGTGCCATTGCCTACAATACACGGTCACCCCTAGTATTGTTCCTGTGGCACCATGACAAGCCAAAGCGGTATGTTCATGAAACCCTACCACCACATGTGTTGCCACTCATGCAACGGCTCCCAGGAGCCCTTTTTCAACAAGACAATGCTCGGCCTCATGCGGCAAGGGTGTCACAAGACTGTCTCCGCACTGTTACTACCCTTCCTTGGTCTGCCCGATCCCCAGATTTATCTCCAATCGAGCATATCTGGGATCATTTGGGATGACAAGTTGGGCATCCCATGAGTTTGAACGAACTAGAAGCTAGGTTACAGCAAATATGGAACGAAATGTCTCAAGACATCATACAGAACTTGTATGACTCAATGCCCGATCGTATCGCATCGTGCATTCGCGCTAGAAGGGGTCCAACGGAGTATTAACTCCTCCGTTCTTTTGCCTTTTTCATATATGTATGCATGTGTGTGTGTAAGATAAAAAATATTTAAATCAAAATTATAACTTAAAGTAGCAACAGCCTCTTCATTCTCCTTCCTCTTTATACTAAAAATAATAATGCCTTTTTCTGCCCTATGTAACACTGATGAAGTAGCTAATTTGGAACTTTTCGAAAACTGAAACTTCCTGTGAATAAGTATTATCTAGTATTATTAATAAGCAACTTAAATCTTCTCTTGGTGAGCTTCCATGTTGAATAACTGTGCAGGTTACCTTCTACCTCTATTTTCCATTAACACACTATTTCACTCTGCTTTCTTCCTATCACAACATATCAAAAAGGTAAATGTTGTTGAAATAGGCATGATTAAAGTGCTAAGTATATTATGGCTGCAAATGTCAATGGAAATAAAGATGATTATTAATCGGTGACAGCCAAATTTGTTGTTTATTACAGATTCAACATTCTATGTTCTATTGTTTATCACAGATTCAACATTCTATGTTCTATGCCAACATTGCTACATTTTTTCATCACAAAGGTGCATCACACACACACACACACACACATATATATATATATATATGTATGTGCATGTAAGATATACAAAATACAATAGGTGCTTTGAGAATAATTGCCGACCTCAAAATGAATTATTCTAGATTTGGTGTTCTCTCACATTCGAAATACTTCCATGTTATATAACACAGCTTGAAAAAGGTAACTAATACTAATATTAACCAATTATAGCTTGTCTGTACAATTGCATCTACTTCAATATAAATACTGCTGGCCAATTAATTACTTGATTCTTCTCTTCCCTAACTGCTGCTCTGCCAATAGTACGTTGCTTCGCTTCTAAAATGCCTATGTCATTTCTTTTAAAAACTAATGTACACTGCGCACAAAAAATGGGGGTGACAGTTTTAGATCTCCTGTTCTCCTGGGCCAATTGACGAAATTCAAATAGTGTTTTTCATGTCTCAAAAGCGAGACTTGGCATGTAGGATGTGTATTAGATTTATATATAGCACTACTCTAACATAGGTATTTTGACACAAAATAAAACTTTTTCTGAAATAACATACCAATTTTTTTTACATATTTCGATTCTACGACTCAAATTATGCCTAAATGTTAAATTTTGTAAAATTTAGTGCGAAATTTACAGAGAAATTGAAAAATTTATATTGGTGCTTTTTTCTCAGTCTGTGCCAAGAATAGTTCACTTGGCGAACTTCTTAATATATGGCAACCTATTTTCCTTTCTCTTTTTTGAATTGTGCGTGATTGGAAAAAAAGTCAACATTGTTCCTTCTTTCAAATAATGTTTTTTATATTATATTTTAATTATAATTTGTATTATTTTACGTAATTTTTTCTTTTTTGAATTTCATTTTAATTGTTTAAGTTGCATGGTTTCTTTCAAATAACTGTTTTTTAAATTTCTGTTTACTCATTCAAAACGCATAGTTTAAATAAAAGGTGCATCAGGTTTCCCCCCCCCCCCCAAATAGTTTTCTTTATACTATATTTTTTAGTCATGGTTATTATTTTAGGTAATTTTTAAATTTTTATTTTAATTGTTTGTATTGCATGCATTGTCTCTTCTGATCATTGTTTTAAAATTTTCTATTCATTCATTCGAACTGCGCATTTTAAATATATTTATTAATATAAATTTTCCACTTTCGAAAGAATTCATTTCTTTTTCCACTTTCGAAAGAATTCATTTTGGAAGAATACTTTGTTACCCAGACTACGATGTATTTGAAAACTGCATATATTAAAAGAGAAAATACAGTAAAGCACTGTTAACATGCCTTTCAATGTTCTGTTCAGAAACGATATACAAATAAGAGAGATGTA